ACAGGAATCTGTAAATGTGATCAGCTGTAGGAAGTAAAGGAGTGGATCAGGAACTGAAGCAACAAGGATGGGGTAAGATGACACTTTCCATGTATTACCTTTAATACCGTTTTGACTCTGAACAAAGTTAATACATTCCCAGTTTTAAAAATACTTTTCCATACTCAGGTATTTCAAAGATGAAAATAATTACATTATTTATTTGCCACAGTGGTTTCTCAAAATTGCTGGACTTCTGAATCGCCTTGTCTTTTCTATAAAATATTGCCTCCTTTGTAAAGAGTGCACCTTCCATTCATATAATCCCAATTCTGTCTATGATGGTGTCAAATACATACAAATATACAAATAATTTGCCATTGAGTTCTTAGTATGAGAGACTGTTTCCCTAATCCAAGACATTTGTTAAATTTTTTAAGATGCAGCAGTATTTATTTTGACACTGCCTTCACTAACTTACATTGCTGAAACACTTTCAGACCTTCTAACAGATGTTCAATTCTACGGTAGTGTCTGGGGTATGTGAGTCACCTCAGCTAACCACTGAGAGCACCACTTTTCCACAGATATCTTACAAGTTCTATGGGTTCTCATTCTGTGGCTTGAAGGATATTCTGCTGTCACTGATTTGTAGCAACTCTATGAAAATGATACAAAGCAGTGGCTTTTTTTAAAAGCAAAAGTGTTTCTGCCAGTGGTGATTTTCCCAATTTTGTGCTTGGCTCATTCAGGTCTGGCTTTCATTTGCTTCTTTGGCTCATGCCACATAGCGGCACTAGGTCTCCAGTTCAGAGCATAGCTGGACCACTGAAAAACAGAACCAGAGGGAACTGGAAAGGTCTTGACAACAACATCACTGTACAAGGTACTTTCCCATAACTCTCCTCAGTAAGGATGAATGTCCTTATGCCGTAGGAACATTTATTTTTATTTAGAGATGAAGAACTGAGGGACAAAGGAGATGAATGACCACAAATACTCTTGGAATTAGAATCTGACCTGGGGTGTGAGGACGCTTCGACCACGGGGCTCTCCAGCACAGCACACTTGTCCTGAAAACACATCTGGCCTGGCAACTCTACTCAGAGATACAGAGTACACTCCTGAACTCTTCTTAAGTTGTTTAAGAAAACTGGCTGTAGTACGAGGGAAAAAGTAAAACAGCACTCAAGGCCTGATGCAAGCTGTTAGTTCTTGATAAAAGTTCAACATGGGCATTGACACAAGAATCGTGATCTTGGAGAGGACACACGGCCTGGAGCTGAACAGAGCCGTGTGAGAAGCCATGGGTTTCCTTCTTTGCTATTACTCTGTTAACGTGCTGCTTCTGGAATTGGTATGACTCTTACACATGAATATGCACTAATTCACGTCATCATTTATTCTGAGCTTTCCTTTAGCGTCTAAACATTTTGGTAAGCATGTGTTTTCCTTGGTTATTTTGTTAACTTGCATTGATGGATGAGTTGTGATGAGTTTAAAGAGAGTTGTTTTCTGTTTTCTTTTTATTTGGGGCAAATATTTGGGGTCATTCAGTGACTTACGATATTTTTTACAGTCAAATAGTGTGGGGGAAATAAAGCTGTTTATTTTTATTCACAAAGGAAAGCATCCACAGAAATTTCTAAATGTTTTATGGATGCATATGATTAATGAGGGGAAAAGGTACAGGGTAGCAGTGCACAGGCTTGAAAGGAGCAGAGCAAACTATGTTCTCAGGAGGCCAGTTCCTGGAAAGTTGTGCTGACTTTCCATGTCTTAATGAGCGTGTAAATCACAGAGGCAGCTCACGGCGGTGGAGATGTTATATGGAGTCACACGGGGTGGGGGATATGCAGTGGATTAGAAAACAAAAGATTCCAGTTCTCAGTCTAGTTCTGTTACTAGCTAGCAGTGTGACCCTTTGGCATGTCACGTAACATCTCCGAGATTCAGTTTCTTTCTCTCTAAAGCAAGTGAACGAAATTCGCTCTTAAGATTCTTTCCGGCTGTCATGTAGTCTTTCCATATAGGATTACATTTCTAATACTGATTGTAATTCAAAAAATGAATTTTGAGATGCTGGATAAATTAGCCAATACTTGTAATAACATCCTGATACCTAGGTAAGGGCATTTGTGATCCAGCAGACTAAGGTTCTAGGCCTGGCTTTGACACAATTGGTGACTTTGGGTAAATTTATGCCTTTCTCTAGGGAATAAATTCATTTTCTGTAGGCGCTGGTTGGGCTAGATGATCCCTGAGTTTTCTATCAGTAGTAATATCGGTTATGCTCTTCACCTTTTTCCAGTAAAATAACTCAAAGAAATAATGAGCCCCTCAATACAATTTTAGTTTCCAAAATATTTCCATGAGAAGTTTTGACAGGGATATACCAGAAAAGAACAATATACTGGCATTTTTCATGGGAATTATTCAAAAAAAATCTTGCCCCATTTCAATGATGATTCATTAGGCTTTATGAAAACTAAACATAAATTAAAAATCTCAGGTAAGTAGTTATTTTCTATAGACCGTCATCTATTAAGAGGAGATAAAGTGTGGGGGAAAGTCAAGGGTTCGGGTGGCTAGCTCACACCAACTGGACAAAATGAAGAACTAAAACAACTATTAAATACTTACATGTTCATGACCAATAGGACATGAATTGTGACTGAATACTATTAAAGACAAAGACTTTTAACCAACCATTTATCTTTTCATTTTAAGATGTAAAGCACAAACATGAAAGGGCTAGAAATACTTTATTTGATGGAACCGTACGAACAGATGAGAGTTCAGTTAACATTTCTCATGTGCTGTTATCATTGTAACTTTAAGCAGGTAACTTTAGCAATTATTATCAATATTGTTTACATCATAATTGGTTTGTCTAATTCTAATCACAATAAACTGTCATTTTTTTAATCAGATAGTTTTCATGAGAGTGAAAGAAACAGTAACACAACGGAGGAAAGCACTCAGGCAAAAGTTGTGCCACATCCAAAAGTACTATTTCAGAAAGTAATTTTGATGTCATATTTGTATTAAGATGTTTTATCAGTCTCCACAGTACGCCTGTGAAGCATCAAGTTGTTTGTCTTGAAATTGCTACTCTACATATAGGGACAGAAGCACAGTGTGCTTAGCAAATTTTCCAAGGCCACATATTGTGTCAGGATGGCACTGGGAATAGAATTTCTCTCTACTTTTCTTACACAGTCCAGTGCCTAACACAGTGCCCTAGAAAGAATAAATGCTCAATAAATAGTCATTGAATGAAAAGAATTAATGGATAAACCATTCTTTTCTATGAAATTGAAAAAAGCTATCATATCCTCTCTATTCCTTCAGTAATTAAGTTGGACGTGCTGGAGGAACAGCTGAGTAATAACTGCCTGCCCACAAACTCTCATTGCTACATGAAGGGGCTTTGCAAGATGGTACCATCTGGTCAGAACTGAAGTTATACACTTTCAGGCCCCACCATAAGGAGTGTCATTAATCTTGGCTCATTGTACCATTGGCTCTTGTGGTGTGAGTTAGGCCCACCAGCCTGTGGCCAAGACTAAATTTTTACGAAAGTCACTGAAAATCCATTATTAATAATGCACATATTATGGATGCCCTAGCCCAATGACATTTTAGTAAAACGGTGTTCTGTATCTTGGACGTAAAGAACTTAGTTGCAGTCCTTGAAAATAAATCACTTGGCTAGTGTTGGCTCTGGCAATTCAGACTTTGCAAAAGATACTTACAAAGCCAGAAAGAATAACTCAATTTATTTCCTGAGTTAATGTGTCATAAGTTGAATTGCAACTGTAAACATGATAAAGGTCACAGTGACATGACTTTTAGAGTTGATAGAAAAATGTGGTAGAAAAAAACACAAGTGTTTATATCACTGGGAGACAAAAGGATGGTAAAACTAATAGTCATTCCCAGTGATGCATCGTCAAGTAAGTGAGATTGTCATCCATTTCATTGGCGCTGGTAACCAATTAACTAAAAAATACAAGTAAGACGTCTTATGAAGCACTTATGGTTAAAATGCATTCCTTCCACTTTGATGACATTCATATTTTTCCATTTTGAGAAATAAAACCTGTTTACCTCCTCAGAATGATCCTATTAAAGTGAAACGAAAATACTTTTGTATCTGTCACCCAAATTAAGTGATTGATCTAAAATTTCACCCAGGTGACATTTTCATTAGGGCTCAGTCTGGAGAAATCTGAAAATTCTACATCTCATTTGCTTACATTTAAACAAATGATTCACCAGACTTGCCTAATTGGATGGTGTATTTCCACTGGAGCGAATGTCCTCATCGTAATTCAAGACAAATCTTAGAAGATTCATCAAACATTTCTACTCCATTGTGTCATGTCTAAAAAGTTCAGAGATATTTTGAGCTCTAAAAGAGCATCACAAAGAACTTGATAATATTCTTTGGTGCAACTGTTACCCATTTTCAGAGCATAGTCACAACTAAAATAGAGATAGGCAGAAATAAAATTAAACCATTAAACACTAACTTATTGGGTAAACTGAGTTTAGATACCCACATGGTGCAAAACAGCAGCTTTTATATAAGCTTCTATACCCTTTAAACTTAAAGCATAGTCTATATTTTCACTTAAAAATAAATATCTAACTGAAGCCAGGAATTTCAGTTTGTAGTTGTGTCAATTATGTTTAAAAGACTATTATTAAGTAAACTTTAAATTCGTTTGCGAACAACTCTACAGTGAGTGGAAATAGAAAAATATAAGCTCTCACACCCAGCAACAAACAAATGACAGATTCTTGACTGCCAGACTCTTCATCTTGTCTGCTTATCATTCAATCCCCCTGCCTGCCCTTTCTCTCTACACCAGGCAGAAGAGTAAAATATTTTAAAATAAATTCCCCATACTATATGATTTCAATTGCCTGTGCCACTGTGGACAAACAGAGGATCCTATTTTCAAAGTTAAAGCCCTTGAAGGGTCATGCACGTGTATCTACGGTCTTTGTTGTTTCTGTCCTGGAGAACTTGGCTGGCCAGAGCTCTCTCCAGGGCTGTGTGCAGGAGTGACAGGAAACTGAAATCCGTAGCCATTGTATCCATCCAAGTAGACACATTGGAAGAAACTGATGGGGCCTAAGGAGTAGAGCATGAATGTTATCAGGAACAGAGGTAAAGCACAGCGAGGCAAGTACAGCACGATGCGCGTGGACATGGGTTCGCAGTCAGGGACCTCGACAATGACCAGCAAGTTTCTCATGTGTAAAATCAAGACCAAAACAAAACCCTCGTAGAAATGCTGTGGAAATTAAGTAAGTTAATATATGTGAATCACTTGAAATCCTTCTTGGCACATAATAAGCCCTTAATAAAATGCTAATAAAAAAAGCCTGGCATAGAAAGTCGAAGTGCTTAGTTTCTAGGAGTCTACTAATGTACACAGTCTTCAGAAAAGCTGTTATGTAAGAACAGGTTTCAAAACAGGAGTTTGTCAATATACAAAGTAACTGAAGTGTGTGTGTGTGTGTGTGTGTGTGTGTGTGTGTGTGTGTGTGTGTCTGTGTCTGTGTGTTTATAACTCCACAGAGAACTTTGCGGTTTCTGAAGTCCTGCCATTTACTCTGGAGGCAAGCACTGTCCCGAACTGGCTCAGTTGCTCTTTAGGGCAGCATCTCCAGGTAGCAGCTCTGTGGTCGGAGCAGACAGCAGCCCAGGAAAGGAGTTACAGCCTAGAGAGGCAGTGTGCACGCTGGATACAGCAAGAGCTCTGGGCCCAGGAAGCCGGGACTCCCAGGGGGCAGCTCTGTTAAGCGATGGCGAGCTGAGCCCCTCCACACAATTCTGGGCCCTGACTGACTCTTCAGTGTCATCCGTTCTACCCGTTTGTGTTCTGTCAACCAACCACAGACTTTTGCAGATGGCAGGAAGAGAATGACAATTGCAGCTAGTGGTACGTGGAATAGGAAACTGGCCAAATCCATATGAGCCCAAGGGCTCAGGAAGTAGCATAAAGCAAAGTGTGGGTAGAGGAAGCTGAGGGAAGCGACAAGGGGTCATTCTGCTTTGATCAGCTGTGGTGTCAGCTGACCTTAATCACTGGGTTCTCAGTGATGAAAGGAGTTCAGAGAAATCTGAAATTTAGTTCTTCTCTATCTCATCCAGAATTATTTTCCATTTTGTCCTAGCTTCAAACAGAGTCAATAACACAAGCTGCCCCCAACCTCCAAGGTTGTAGGAACTTGAGGGCTGGACAGGCAATAAAGAAGGGCCTGCCTTAAGGGAGAATGGCCACACCAGCACCGAAAGGAGAAGAGCCCGCCAACGGCAGGCTGCCTTCCAGCTGAACCCTCTCAGATGCGGGTGCTGTTCTGACACGTTTATTTCATTCACGTTGGATAGGTTATCAATGAAAATATCATTATTGCTGCAAATGTTAAAGTTATACAAAAGGCTCATGAATATCTTACTATAAACTACAGAATTGCTTTATAGTAAGATGAAAATAGAAAATATTGTTTAGCTACAGTAAGTCCCCCAGATGAATTTAAAGTATTTGATATTTTTTACTAAAAAATTGCATTGTTTTACTTATTTACTTATTATTTTTTAATTGAAGTATCATCAGTTTACAATGCAGCATCAATTTCAGCATGCAGCATGATGTTTCAGACATACCTGTATGTACCCATATTCCTTTTCATATTCTTTTTCATTATAGGTTACTACAAGATATTGAATATTGTTCCCTGTGCTATACAGTGGAAACTTTTTGTTCATCTATTTTATATATAATGGTTAGTCTTATGTACTTGTTTTTAATTAAACTTTTATTTTGAGATAATTGTAGAGCCACATGCAATAGTAAGAAAGAATGCAGAAAGAGCCAATATATCCTTCACCTAGTTTTCCCCAGTGGTGACATCTATGCAAAACTATACTATGATATCCTAACCAGAAAATTGGCATTACTATAATCCAGCTATCTTGTTACATTTTAATATTTATGAAATAAGAGATGTCAACTATTGTGTGATATAGCCACAAATTGTTATAAGTAGGTTAACAATTGGGAAAGCATTGCTATATAAAGCAGAAATCCATGCTCAGGTTGACTGTGGATTTTGCAACAATATGTAAAAGTACTGTTAAGACTGCTTATTTCCCTGTATTTCATACAATGCGATTATAAGAAGGGTTATAATGAGCATCTAAACGGGGACTACTGTGCTTAGAACATAGTAGGCACTTAATATTTGTTCAATTAATCAAGTATTACTACTGAATAGGAAGCATTCACTATTGTAGAGGGCATTTTTGTAATTTCCTTCAGAAATAAGTTTAAGAAACACTTCAGAACCCAGAGAACCTTACTGACATCATTTCCTCAGATAAGTGTCTATTCTTTACTTTAAGAGCATTATGTGGAGCAAACTTCTCTTACACCCATTTCAAAAATTGCTTCCTTTAGTCTGTCTAGCAATGACTTTTATGCATATGTGAATCCAAGGGGTATTGCTTTACCATCTGAAAAAAAGAAGTCTAATTTGGAAGTACTGGAATAATGAGAATCTTGGACACTGGATTTTATAACCGCATATGAATATTGATTTCATTCTAAAATCAATGATCCCAAAGATTGAATACTAAGAGCCTGCCATATATTGAGAAAAATCAAAAAGAACTTTCAATCTTTGAAGTGAGTTTCTAAGCAATTGAATTGCTGAGACCTATTTCTACATTTTTTTCTTTCTGATATAAAAAAATTTCAGCAGATCACTTCAGTTTTCTTTTTATAAAGCAGACAGTAACACATATTTAAGCACAGATTCTGTGAGAGTGGTCAGGATCAGAGCTGGGTAGAATGGTTTACAATAAATGTCACTTCAGTCATTACTTTGTAATTCTTCCAAATATGTGCCTTTATTCCTGACACAAAAAGTGAAGGACTTCTCTTTGAAATATAAGTGACCTACTTTAATGTTCTTCATGTCTGTGCTAAAAGTCTTTTTCTTCTAATACTGGTCTTCTTGAAAGAGTCTAAAGCTTCAATTTATATGTAGCATTTTTAATACAGAATGCCTTAGTTTTAATCTTTTTTCCAAAAACTTACTTTTTTGCTTCTTTGTGGAAGGCACGTCTTCAGCTTCTTCTAGTGGATAAAAAGTATGAAGGTAAATAACTTGTACATTCACAGCTGTTATACAAACAGATAGGGAACTGAAAATGTCTTAAAAAGGTGCACAATGTGAAAGAAACAGGAGCTATTTGACCTACTTATAATATGTTCTAGCTAGGTTCATATTCAGATTCTGTTCAGTCTTTCACTAAATTTTAATAGGTAAAAGCGAATAATTGAAGAGGAGGCAATGAAAGAAAAGAATGGGAAATGCTACAGGCAATTATTCAGCTAGAAACTGGTCCTGATGTGTTGGATGTTAATGGAGGGCTAGCTGACACCCACTCATTTCTTAGAAGAGGTCTTTGATGCTCAGTTATAATATGGTAAGGATGGAATCTAGCTACAAAACAAACATTTTAGTCAAAATAACTTTAAATTTGTGAGGGACATAACCCTCATAAGAACCCCTTTCCCTAGGTTAGAAGTTCTTTACCGGTGCCCATAGATGAACTTTCACAGGGTTTGCTGTAAACTCTGAAATGTTAAGATGTAAGTATATGTATGTATGTGAGAGAGTGTGTGTGTGTGTGTGTGTGTGTGTGTGTGTGTGTTCCACCTAAAGCTAGGTTTTAGATTTCATCAGATTCTAAATGAGTTCAAGAATTTTCCTTCTCAAAGTGTACTCTATGGATCAGTAATTTCAGCATCACTCGGGAGACATATAAACCTGGTTCTTGGTCCCCCAACCCTGACTTATTTCATTTTAGCAAAATTGCCAAACGATTTGTGTATAAAATAGTTTGAGAAGCTATCGTCTAGAAGTAAGCAACAAATTAAGAGTTACTGTTCTTAATAATTCACCAAAAAAAAAAAACCTATAAGTTTAGTATTCAAAAAATACCTTAAGGCAAGTGTAAATCGTTTCGTAAGAATCAGGAACCTATTCTCGGGTGTCTTTTCTCAGAGCACTATTTTCCACACTGTTAATTAATTCCAGGCACTGCCACAGAACTTATATTTTGATGACAAGAACGTCTTCTAGGCAAACTCTCATTGTCCACAGGCAAGTTTAGAAGTAGAACAGAAAATATCTGTCATATAACAAGCCAAACTAGGAAGCCAAGACACCCTTCAGGGAAAAATGCATTAAATTAAATTAGCTGAAAACATTACAATACAGATGAAGAAATTTAGTCCTGGAAATACTTGCCTAAGATCATGTATCTGGTTGTAGTGAATTTTTCTGAGGTTTGAGGCCTTCCTTCCTTCCTTCCTTCCTTCCTTCCTTCCTTCCTTCCTTCCTTCCCTCCCTCCTTCCTTCTTTTCTCTATGCTATTGCTGCTAGTATATGTGAGTTATCTCAATTTTTCCTATTAAACATACATCAATTTCATATTTAAACATTTATATGGTCCTCCTGCCGTCAAATAACATCCCTGTAGTCCTTGGTGAAATGACAATTTTGAAATTTTACTCTTGTAAGCAGATTGGCCAACAAATGCACTTAATAATTGCTTGTAACTAAATCAGTGTCCAATGATTGCCTTCAAATATGGATACATATACTTTTTTCCAAATAATATACAAAAGCTGTTTATTTTAAAAAATAAGCCTACCATCAAAACTTTGCCTAGGTAAAGCTGAGAACTAAATCAAGAGTAGTTAACTAAAACAGACAAATGAAATATTACAGCCTTAAGAGAAAACTCACAGTGAACTGAAGATAACAAGCTTACCTTTAGCTGTCTTTGAAGCTGGTACATCTTCAGAATCTCCTAGAGAGTAAAGACAAGACATATCAATTCATGATCTAGTTCCCAGATTTCCCAAGGAGGAAATATATTGTATTTAAAAGTCTTTAAGAGATAGAGGATCTCCTAATCTCTAAACTCAGCATCTAGTTTCTCTACAAACAAGAGCTTTCTGACAAATAAGGCAACTGCTCTGATTTGGATAGAGGGTGGGGAGGAGACAGATTCTGTGCTGGGACTGTGGTCAGCAGGCCAGCAGAGGCTGGCTTAGGGTGAGGAGGGCCTTCCGTGACCCTCCCAAACATGCTTCTCCTCCTCTGACTCCTAAAATTGCTTCCCCAAACCACAGTCACTTTTGGAATTTAGGGAATTTGAGATAAATAAATTCATACACACGTAGTAGATCAAGAGGATTGGCCCACCCACGTATTTTATTAGCTGACTGACTTCTGACAATTGTAAATACAATTGAAAGACATTGTGGTTGCCAAGGGGGCAGGGGGTGGGGAGGGACGGACT